CAAATCATGAACTATAGATGGCCACAAATCACAATATAAAAAACTACAGATTCGGCCATGTTCCTAACTGAGGAAGCGAGATCAACATCAGCTTTTTCCTACCCGCCAAGGCCATCCTATCCGCCATGGCTTGCTGGCTCGTGAGTAAGATACGAATCGTGTAAAAATATGTGTTAATAACTCACTTGTCCTGAGAAGTCAACAAATAGTATGTAGGTATAAAAACGATATAATATCCTCCCCCATCTCAAACGCGGGAACAAACACAAGGTTATCAATGATTTCGATTTTCGAAACAGATGCGCCATAACACAGTTTTTAACCAGCTGCTTAAAACACTGCAAAAAAGGTTTTAGGACTGCAAACTTCTGCCTCGTGAATGATTTTATTGATAAAAATCATCCAACACGATATTGAATTCCAATGAAATCAACACTGTGAGTGTTATTCACTATAAGAAAATTGATTTCTCTTGAGTGATTCAACCAAAAGGGCATATGAATAAATATTACGTCATCAGCTTACATCCTTTCTTTAGGGGACAGAGGATCTTAAAAGTCAATCCTTGGTTGCCTTTGCGCCACATTGCGTCACTTTTGTATTCATTTCGTCTGCATCTTGTGTTTTCTTGTAAAGATAAGACAAAATGCCAGTTTAATTCATTTTCATTTCATTTTGGGACCAAAGTTAGGCTCAGGGCTACCTAAAACCTGCCTTTTCAGCCGGATTTTCAGTGTCAAATTCTTTGTAGAGTACCTATCTCAGACCACATCTCAGGACTCAAGGCCAGTTTCCAAACAATGTGTTTTGTGTTGTTTTGATTCTGCCTTTTGCCTAGGGAATGTTGCCATGAACATTTATTTATTTTAGTTACTGTATTATGCCTATTACCTACCAAACATGACACATGACTTAATAATTGGTTGTGCTTTGGCAACATGAACGAGTATTCTTTGTCTTCCTTTAATAGACACCAGTAGATTCTTGACAATTCTAATTTTAGAACCAAACCTGTGGAATGCTGAGGTTCATGTGTTACCCCTGTCCCCTACCCTTAGCAATGGAACTTCTACCACAAAATGTATTTTGCAGTGGCTCAGATTGCTGTTATTACAATTCAATAGCCTCTTAGTGTCCAAAGTTTGAATCATATGCTGATAATTTTTGTGTGTGCAAAATCAAAAATACCGGCATGCTACCGGCACGACATGCCAGACACCACGAAAAAACCTGCGGTAGTGAAAAATTACCGGCATGCCGGTAGTGCGGTAGGGAAATTTTGCAACTCTAGTTCTGATCACGAATATCATGTTAGTTTTTATCTCAGATGATGTCTTCATGCTTTTAGGCCAGGTCGGGTCAGGTCAGTTCAGGTCAACCAGTAGTGGTTTTGCCGGGTATTCGTAGTAGGTGTCAACCGCCTCTGACAGCTTCGTAACATGTTACAATGGCACCAAAACTACTTCGTAAATGCTCATATGGTTGCTAAATTCGAATTAAGCTAAAAAAACTAGCCTAGAAACATGTAAAAGTTAACCGAGCTCATTTAAGGTCAGTGACCTGTCCTGAGCTTCAAGTGAACTTGACACCCACCCTAACGCATAGGAGCAATATCATATCACATGTTTGAACCCTTGAAACCACGAAAAGAGTGCAAACGCGCGGCTAAGAGGAGACGACATACACCGAATCGCGATTCCGGCCAAACATGGTCTTGAAAAGTAGGTCACAGGTCAAAGGTCATTTGCGTCAGGGTCATGAAATTGTTAGGGTAGGTGTAAAATTGATGAACGCGAGGGTAATGAAAGTTCCGTCGCGATCAGCGGGTTTTTACGCGAGTTATTTGCGAACACCGAGAGGGGGCTGTTCGACCCCCCCCCCACCTATTCCGGCGAGGGCTAAGGGGGAGGGGCGTTTCTCACGGTTCTTCCTACCTAAGATCATTGTTAAGATCTGAAATGAGAAATCATAAAGCATGGCTCACAGCAGGGCTGAAGCGTGAAATACGCAAGCATGGCTACTCAAGCTTGATCAGCTCAACGATTAAAAAAGCAGTTCAGGCTCTCCGCCGATGATGACAGCCTGGTCGGGTAGTTCGCTCCGCGACAGGGTCCGTCTGCTTTGTGCGGCGCGGCACGGCGCGGCGGGGGGGGGGGGAAGGCGGCGATGCGTCTGAAAGGCGACGCTCGGACGTCCCGGGAATCACCTGTCACCATGCGGCGCGGCGGTCGGTCCCTCCGACCCTTCTCATTGTTACCTGACTGCGGGTGCCGGTTCCCCCGGAAGGGTCACTTTGGTATGCGAAATCTTCACTCGTTAATCGGACAGGAGGGGAGCAGTAGACATTCGATGGAGTAGGCGATTCGGGCGTAGGTCAGCCGGGCGTAGACATTCGATGGAGTAGGCGATTCGGGCGTAGGTCAGCCGGGCGTAGGTCAGCCGGGCGTAGACATTCGATGGAGTAGGCGATTCGGGCGTAGGTCAGCCGGGCGTAGGTCAGCCGGGCGTAGACATTCGATGGAGTAGGCGATTCGGGCGTAGGTCAGCCGGGCGTAGGTCAGCCGGGCGTAGACATTCGATGGAGTAGGCGATTCGGGCGTAGGTTAGCCGGGCGTAGGTCACCCTGGCGTAGACATTCGATGGAGTAGGCGATTCGGGCGTAGGTCAGCCGGGCGTAGGTCACCCGGGCGTAGACATTCGATGGAGTAGGCGATTCGGGCGTAGGTCAGCCGGGCGTAGGTCCCCCGGGCGTAGACATTCGATGGAGTAGGCAATTCGGGCGTAGGTCAGCCGGGCGTAGGCCACCCGGGCGTAGGTCACCCGGGCCTGAGCCGGTGCGACTGCATGAAAACGTTTTGCCAATAAGTATGCTAAGCTTTTATAAATCCTTATTCTACGTCTTTTGATTTTTTGGTAAGATGACGTCATTGATTATCATGTAGTATGGTAGATCATCATAAAATAAATCGGTTATACAACACCAATTTCGTTTTAGTTATTATTTTATTTGAAATAAAACCACTTAATAATATTCGGTAAAATATTTCAAGGAAAATGAAATATATTAAATATGTTATGCTTAGGCTCTCAGGAGAAAAGGATCAACAAACGTTCTGCTGCAAATTAAACAATGCAGCAAATTAGCTATTAATTAGGCACGTAAACGTAAATAGCGAGACGAAAACGGCGCTTTTGTTTCAGTTATTTTTGTAGGGGTTTCAGATATTTATAGAGTTCAGTGGGTTGTTTCTGAGGAGATGTGGAGATGTGAATTATTAATTAATCACACTTTATTAGTATATAGGGCCTTGCACTTTATTATCTGGATTAGAAAAAAACGTTTCCTGCTGAGTGCAGAAAGGTAGGTAGGTGCATCGCCAGGTTCTATCACCAGGATTGGTGCAGTTATTGCAGTTGAAAGTCAAAGTTGGCTGTTCATGTTTAGGCCCTGTTCTTTATTTGGCCATCTACCCCATATTGCAGTTGTGATGACAAGCAGTTTTCAGTGTAGTTTTGTGATCTTTGATGTCATCAATTGGTGTCATTATTTTTCGTCAACTAAAAGTTATTTGAACTCTCCTTTCAATCAACTCAATCATACGAGTCACTCTAATTTTCAGGAATCAAATCAGTCAACCAGTCGCTAAAGTCAAACGAGTCAGTCAACCAGTCATCTCGAAAAGTCAATCGACTCAATCCAATCAACTCAAAATACGCGTTGAAACAAATCAATCAATTCAATCGACTTGATTGGTATACAACCCTGGTTGTATAGCCCCAACGGGGAACTACCTTGTAGTTGTGACCAATTTCATTGACCTCTGTCTAACCGATGACGTCACAGGTCATGTCAAATGTCGAATTTTCACCGTTTTCAGGCATTTCAAGAAAGGTGTTTTAAAATCGAGTAAAAAGGCATATTATTTAAAATAATCGATATGGAATTTCCGTCAAACATATATTTTGCTATATGAGGTCACTAATACCAGGTCAGGTCACAGAGGTCAGGTCACTGAGGGTCACAATACGAAAGTGTCGTATGATACATGTTTTATGGTCCATTTTATATGACAAATGCGATTGTGTGAGTCAGGCAGCCTTAAGGGCCAGTTTAGGTTATGAACTGGCGAAGGTCAAGTCAAGGCCAGGTCAAATTAGGTCAAAGTTCAAACTTAAATTTTTGCAGAAAATGGGTATTGATTCGATTAAGCTCGTCACGGGGAGTCTAATGGTGGTCTTTTTTTGCGTAACGTGGTCTAGAATTGCTTAAAATTGAATTCACAATTTTGACGTCATCAATATTAAAGTTTCTTTTCGCTATAACTTGGCCAAAAAAGGAGGAATCGATCTAAAACTTGGTTTGTAGATAGAAGAGCGTATGGACTAACAATATATTCCTTTTTTGAACTTAGAAAAACTTTTGGGATTTTTTGCTATTTTATAAAAAATCAATTCTTTGATTAAAGGGGTCAAAATCACAAAATTATGAAAATCCGAGATAGCAGTTTTGTAGCGCCGTCTTTTCTCTACACGACTACATAAAGAACTTTGAAATTGCTTGTTAACTGTAGCTTTTGTTAGCGTTTCAAGATTTCATATTTTTCTCATTTTTGCTCTAACATGATCTCAGTTTGACCTCAATAACTCCTGACCTAAGGTGACCTAATACTTGAAATTTTTGTGTGAAGGTGTCAAATTGATGCCCGGGAAGGTACTGAAAATTTGGCGGCATTTTTGCCGTTTTTTGCTATTGAAGGAAAACCAAAGGGGGCCATATTCCCCCCCCCCCTACCCAACGGGACGAGGGTTAATTATGGCGGCGAACTGATGGAGGGACAAATAATTTCCGGGTCCCCTGTGCACTACATTGAACTTCCGTTGTGGAACAAAAAAGCCTCGAAGGAGATGGCTAAGTACAGTATCATGATCTACTTCCACCGTGCGTCACCATATTTGTTCTTTGGAGAAGTCCCGATGTGAGACATGGTGTCGATAACTCATAAGTCATAACAAATATATTGGTGAAAGACAACAGCGGTGATGCTCCTGGCAGCATAGCGGCCCTTGAACATGGCAAATACAAACAGTACCCAGTCGGCAACAAATACAGACTATCCTAATCGGCGACAAATACAAACAACAGTGCCCTAATCAACGACAGATACAAACATAACCCTAGTCGGCGCGGCACAGAGGGCGCGGACGGCCGGGCCCAGCCGGTGGGTGGGGGCGGATGCCGCAGCGCATGTCCTGCTCAGTCCGACTGGCTCCTTCAGTGTCCGTAGACTGGGACACGGCCGGGGCCGCCGATCAGACCCCGGCCGTACCCGATACGACCGGCGCCGTACCCGCCACGGCCCCCCACCAGACCGGCGCCGTGGCCCCCCACCAGACCCACGATACGGCCGCCGCCGTACCCGACTCGCCCGCCGCCGTAGCCGTAGCCGCGAGCCACCTGCGGGTGCTGGGCGTAGCCCTCGTAGCTGACCTCGGCGTTGAAGCCGTTGTAGTGGTCGGCGACGTACTTGACGATCTGGGTGCGGCCGTCGGGCAGGTTGACGGCGTACGAGCCCACAACGTTACCGGCACCGTCGGCCTCCTCCTGCTTGTTGAACATGGGTCCGTAGTGAGGGTCGTCGACGGCGTACTGGTAGTGGTACGGCCGCGGCTCGGCGTAGTCGACGGCGACGGCCTTATGAACGCCGTGCACGATAGGCGCGGGGCGCACGGCAGCCACAGCCTTGCCTACGCCCAAGTGGCCGTAGCCGAGACCGCCGTAGCCTCGCCTGTAGCCTCCGTAGCCTCTGCCGTGGCTTTTACCGATCACCACAGCAGCGCCGATCGGCCCCGCGCCATAGCCTCTGCCCGGTCCGCCGTAGCTGATGCCGGAGCCGCTGGCCACGGCGATGAGGACGGCGACAATGAGGGCGCGCATTGTGCAGACACTGAGCTTGCTGCAGGCGGCCACGACTGGTGACGGTGAAAGACCGGCGACCACTTTTATATACAGTAGGTAGTGGTCCCGCCGGCCGACCCGACATCGAGGTGTGGCAACGCTCACCAGTGTGCGGGAACGCTGGGTCCTAAAGGACACTTTTGTTACGTCATAGATAAGCGTTTCTCGCCTTAATTAATACTAATGAAGATAGTTACACCCACTTTGAGCGTATACTAACATAATAACCGTTTTCACGACGGGCTATCTGGCGAATGCGGCTAATTTAAAGTGATTAAAGCAACATAATGATTGGGGTCCCTGGCTTGCACGTACCGGCTTGGGCACCCACAACATCGAGAATTGCTTTAATTCGGAGATACATACATAACTGGCGTTATCTTTTGTTAATCCCGTAAAGCTTCGGCATCGTATGCTCCATACTCATGTGTTGGCTGTCTATCGGCCGGCTGTCTCTCTCTCCCTTACATCCCATTCACCTTCCAGGCGATCGTTAAGAGAGAGGATACGGTCGACGAGGTAAGGAAATGAAGTTAAGTAAAACAAACGCAGATGGTTGGAGGGGTGGGTGGAGAAAACGTGCTCAGCAGCGACCGCTGCTGGTCCGCTTCACTCGCCCGGGCCGCGTCGAGTGGACCTCAGCCGTCCCGCTCACGGCCGGCCCGCTGGCATGACGTCACGAACCCTCCGGCGAGGTCAGGTCGGGTCACCGCTCGACAGTGCCGGCCGGCGTGGTTCTAGAGGCCAACCGCGGATACGCGTTTGAGCAAGGATGCGACGTTATTATTAACTGGCATTTAATTTCAAACTTGCAGTTTTCAGATTCCAAGCGGCTAATGCATTTGAATGTCCCCTTAGAATTTGTGACGTCAGCGCAGATCCAACGATTTTTTTATCTTATACTAAAATCATCGTTAAAACGTGGTGGTATATACGGCTTTGCGCGCAACATCTGCCACTTTTTTACGATGCCAAATTATTGCTTCCAAATGACGTCGTAGGAATAGCGGAGGTGCCAAAAAGGAAGCAAAAGTACCTAAAAGTCTAATATCTTGAAAACCGGTGAATATTTTTCGGTGAAACTTGGTAGGGGAGAGTGGGGTAAGATGCCCAGGGTGGGAAAGACGCCCCACCCCCTCTAGCGGCGAAACAAAGAATTGAACCAGGAAATTAATGTTCTTAGCGTAAAGCGGAAGCCTGCCTTGTTAACTGCACAAAAATTTGCGAAGCTCAGTTGGGCAACGGCTGGCTGGTGAATGCATGTTTTTTTATTTGCTGCTGTCGAAAAATATTTTGGTGTCAAAACATTGTAAATATCAAAGAAGGTAGATATTTTTTGCGTCCCTTGCTATAGTCGTGATGCATTAACATGCGTGTAATGTGTCCCAAACAGTTTGTTTCAGGGTGTAGTTTTATGGCTAACAAATTATACTGATTTAATATTACTTCGGTACCTTGGGGTAAGATGCCCCCTGTCCTGATGGGGAAAGACGCCCCCTAAATCCTTAGGCTGTCCTTCAAGCAGCCCGTCAAATCATTTATTGCATGCTTGTGATGAGAGACAAAAGCCGGTCTGCGACTATTGAGAGTCCAGTACGGTCGGGTGCTCGCCTCCCCATGCCGGTCTCTCGGCCCACACAGCGACTTTTTGGGCGGCATCTGACTCTGAGAGCCCTCACGACGGCCTCGGTGGGCCCCATTATTGGCTCCAGGGCCCCTCACGACATCCTTTGAGGGCTCCCACGTTGGCTCCACGGGCCGAGCTGGCATCTGAGGTCCCCATGATGGGATCGAGGGCCCTCAAGCATCATGATGACCTATAAGGGCCCCACAGTGGTCTCCGAACGCCACCGCGGAAGCTTGTTTGGCCGCGCTGGACTATGATGTCCCTAACGATGACCTCTGAAGCCCCTTATGACCACTTTTGAGGGCCCTTACGATGACGTTTGGTGTCTACTGCAGGCTCGAAGGGACTACTGATTCGTTCAGGCGATTCACGTGCCCATTTATGTCACTTATAGTGCAGGGGGCATCTTCCCCAACGCCAGGGGGCGTCTTTCCCACCCTGTGGGGTAAGATGCCCCCTTAAACTTCTTCAGGAAAATGCTTAATAGCAAAAAAAGTTATCATATTTCAGGCACGAAAGTGTGATATTTTTGGAGAAAAATGATGTCGGCTTCCGTTGAAACTCCAAGTTTTTGCTCTCCGATCGTCATTTTCGAATAATATATGACATAGTAAAACCCTGGGCATCTTTCCCCACTCTCCCCTATATACATTTTGATCTTTCTGAACCACGTGACCTCGCTTTTATGCAAATTCATTAACTTTTTTGAAGGTGGGAGCCGGGAGGGTCCCTGCACCAAATCAAATCGCATCAAAATTTGCACCAAATCTCTTTCACAGCAAAATTCTTCAGATCATGAATTTATTTTAGTGCTTTAATCGAAAATAATGATCTGATGATTTTATTTGATTTGATGAGTGAGGTATATAAATATCTGTGTAGCCCTAACTGACGACTTTAAAGAAACGCAATGAACCTATTTGGACCAAATATGCACCAAATATGCACCTAATCTACACCTAATCCGCACCAAATGTGTACTAGATGGCCGTCGTGAAAACGGCTTATAACAACTGACGGCACGATGCGTATTTACGAGAAGGGTGCACAGTGCACACCTAACAGGAAAAATACTCGTGTGGGCTACTGATGCCTGCAATGTTGACACGGCTGGTACTTGGTAGTTGCCGTAAACCAGGGGCGTCGCCACGGATTTTTGACTGGGGGGGGGGGGGACGGATCGGGCGACTTAACCCGCGCCGGGCCGGGAGGGGGAGGGGGGGGGGGTTGAACACTGAGGTTTTTCGCACAGATATCTCAAAAACGGCACCTGTTCGTGCATCTTTTCCGCACATGTTGTGAAAATTTCAGACCCAAGTCGCCCTAGGTCAGGTCACCAGGTCACGCCAAGTCAGGGGCGGTCGCAGACTTGGAGTTTGGGGGGGGGGCAACTTGGCAAAGGGGCCCCTGCGCTGACCCGGGGGGCCCGGTGCTAGCTTAAAGGGGCCCACGGGCGTAGTGCACGGGTGCAGAAATCTAGGCCATGGCCGGTGAAGCGGGGGGAGGGGGGGGGGTAGGGAGCGGCTTGAGGGTGCACCATGTCGAAAAGGTACCGAAAAGTGCATTTTGAAGCATTGATTATGTCAATAATTCACGCAACTGTGAATGGACTACCGCAAAAGTGAAGGCGGCTAACTTTGCAATTTTCTTTGCAAAAAAAACTTTGCCATTTTTTAAGATCATCGTGCTAAAACTTTTAACAGTGGCTCATCGGTATCTGTTCACACATGTGTTCCGACTTCCGTTTAATCTTTTTTCACTTGAGCACAAATGCAAATTTTGAAGACCATTACAGTAGCAAATGCTTCAAAAGACGGATAGTGGGCAAAATATCCTAAATTTGTCGTGCTGCATGGAAAGAAGTGTTGCTGAGGAAAGGGGGTTTTGTTCCAGATTATTGTGGATGCAGAATACATTGTCTGCACTCACTGCAGAATTATTGTTGGTGCAACTGCGCCCACTGCACCCATGGTTCCTACACTTATGGGCCCATCGAAAGCACTTCGGCGAAACCTATCGCCTAGAGGCTGCAATGGGGCCCTTAGAGTACGGTGTCAGACCCCCAGAGGCCGGCGTTGGACCCAAGGGTCAGCGAAGGGCCTCAAAGGCCCCAGTTAGGGCCCCAGAGGCTGATGTGGGCCTTCATAAGCAAGTGCGTGACGCCCAAAGGTAAGGCTTGAGCCCCCCAGAGAACTTAATAGGGCCATCAGTGGCCAGTGTAGAGACCTCATAGGCCAGTTTGCGGGCCCCTCAGAGGCTAGTGTGGGGCCTCAGGTGTCGCTATGAGGCACTTAAAGACCGGTATGGGTCCTCAGAAGCCGGCATCGATCCTTCAGAAGCCAGTACGGGGCCCTCAGAGGCACATAAGGGCAGTTTCGGTCCCAGAGACAGAAATGGGACCATCAGAGGCCGGTGTGGGTCGTGGGACCTTTAAAGGCTGGTTTTGGCTCTTAGGGGCCAGTTTAGAGCCCTCAGAGACCAGTACAGGGCCTGCAAAGGGCAGTTTGAGACCATCAGAGACCGAATTGGGCACTCGGAGGGTAATATGGGTCCTTACAGGCCAGCATGGAGCCATCAGAGGTTAGGGTGGGGCCCTAAAAGACCAACATGGGCCGGCGTTGGACCCCAGAGGCCAGAAGAGGGCCCTCAAAGGCCAAGATGGGCCCTCAGACTAGGCCGATGCGGGCCCTTAGAGGCCGGCATCAGGTCTTCAGAAGCCCGTGCGGGGCCCTCAGAGGCTAAGATGGGTCCTTACAGGCCAGCACGGGCCCTCAGAGGTCAGTGTGGGGCCCTAAAAGACCGGCATGGGCCGGCGTTGGACCCCAGAGGCCAACAGAAGGCCCTCAAAGGCCAAGATGGGCCCGCAAAAGCCGATGCTGACCCTTAGAGGCCGGCATCGGGTCTTCAGAATCCAGTGCAGGGGGCTCTCGGAGGCTAATATGGGCCCTTACAGGCCAGCATGGGGCCCTCAAAGATCAGAATGGGACCCTAAAAGACTGGCATTGGCCGGCGTTGGACCCCAGAGGCCAGCAGAGGGCCTCAAAGGCCAAGATGGGCCTTCAGAGGCCGATGCGGACCCTTAGAGGTCGGCATCGGGTCTTCAGAATCCAGTGTGGGGCCCATAGAGGCTAATGTGTATCCTTACAGGCCAGCATGGGCCCTCAGAGGTCAGTGTGGGGGCCCTAAAAGACCGGCATGGGCCGGCGTTGGACCCCAGAGGCCAGCGGAGGGCCCTCAAAGGCCAAGATGGGCCCTCACACGCCGATGCGGGCCCTGAGCGGCCGGCATTGGGTCATCAGAATCCAGTGCGGGGGGCCCTTAGAGGCTAATGTGAGTCCTTACAGGCCAGCATGGGCCCTTAGAGGTCAGTGTGGGGCC